GGACTCCCTGAAACAACATCTCAGCCTTGGCCGTATTGACCAACATAACTGGTCGACTCTGGCCTCCAGTTGAGAGGTCTGGAGACAAACTATTTATAACACTGCTGATGTTTTTGAGAAAGCACGCAGGATCACTCTCAAGGAGAAAAGACAACACAGAAAGACTCGTGCCTAGCAGAATATACCACCTAAGGAGTCTTTCTGCTGTGTCTTTTGCAACCGGACATGCCTGTCTCATATTGGCCTTTTTAGCCACCAGCGCGCTTGTGGCTGGTGGTTAAACAAACGTGGATAGAGCCCTCCTCAAATCTTCGTTCGCGAAGCCTAGCCATGGCTGGCTAATGCTAATGGCTTTCCACTCTCTTTGAAAATTACCTCTAATATTCAAGTAAAAAACTAAGTAGTACGGGAAGTTTTCAGTCTGTTTTATCCAGAAAAACTTGGAGTTAATGAAGACTCAATCTATTCAAAGACTAGAAACATTATAGCACATCTATCTTCACTCAGAAGGCTGTATCCATCGTTGTATTTGTTTTGCATCATTTCTGACACAATAAATACAATGCATAACTGCCTCCTATTTTTTTTTAAGAAATCCTCATAAACCAAACCTGACCCAATACTAAAAATGTGTACCATATTCTGTACAAATGATAATAAACATGCATTGAATTCTAGACTCATCTGAAAAATAACTATACATGTCCAAAGCAGTAATTCAAAGTGTCAGGAACTGAGTGTAGTTTGAACATCCTAAATAGAAATCATTCATCAATTCCAAACCAAACAGTATTTATTTGATTTCAGATTAAGCTCAGAATTGTTTCTTACATTCATGGTCAAACTTCTGGAGGAAAATAATTCTTTATCCCAGAATCTCATAAAACTGTACACACTAATTCTGCGTGGGTCCAAAAAAAAGCAAACGTGCAAAGAGTAAATGAATTCACAAGCTCCCATTTCCAGCACCTACAGAATATAACATGAAATCAGTACAAAAATCTACCTGGAGACTTAATGTAAAGAGAAAGCATACTGACATTCCAAGAACTTGCCTCAGAAGGCCTCTTGAAGCTTCTTTTAAGATTTGCAACACAAATTTTAATGCTAATGAGAGATGTCATTTAATGTTGTGCTAATAATTTTAATTTTTAACAAGCTATGTGATATCTTTTTGAACAATTTGAGATATAGAAAGTTAATATATTAAAGAAATAAAAATAAGAATTAAAAGTACTATGTTAAATCAGTAGCTGTCTAAACAGCCCAAAATCTTACTCTAACTTTTCCAAATTTTGCAGCAAAAAGAAACTCGCAGAGCAGATTTGTGAAGTATAGCAAAACTTCACATTACATGTGAAGCTTAATATTGATAGTAAATGACCCGTATTTCTCCTCCTTTTCCATTGATTTAATTACTGTTTTGGAACATTAAGTGCACTCAACTTTACATCAGGCACTTAATTCCTACTGCTGATAAATCTGTCTAGCAAAAGATTTGGTCCTTTTAGTATTTCAATAGACAACTTCAACAGCAACACATCCTGTAAGTCATGTGCCTGCTCACCAATTTATTAAAAAACAAAGTAAATTTATTTTTCTTTCCATATCAAACCAATGTACTCTCTGGAATATATATCTGTGCATATTAGCATGAACACTCACTGGTAAACACTGAGGCAAGCTTGGAGCACTGTATCATAGACAGGAGGGAATGATGAGAAAATAACAGCTTTCGTTTCCATACAGCTGCTATTCCAAAGCATTATCAGGCCTTATTTTTTTTATAGGCAACTAATAGGCCCATTTTCTCCAGGCACCAGCCATTTCTGAATTGGAGTACAGCAGCTGCTGAACACTTGACAGCAGTGCCATACAGTCAGGGCCCACTGACAAAAACATTTTCTCTGAGATAGCTGCATTTCAGTTTTGGATGAAGGTAAACAAGAACAGATAAATATTATTTTCAGTCTTTGATGCCTTGATCGTGAGCATATGGCAACAAAGTCTGCACTGCAATCTATGCAGACAGAAAATTAAGACAACTGAAAGGAAGAATGATCTCTGTATCACAAATGCGATACTAAGGAACAGAAGGCCACCTATAAAGAATAGTCTAAGCCTACATCCAGATCATGTAAGGTCCAGGATAATCAGATGATTAGCATTTTTCTTCTCTCAGTCCTCCACAGTAGCATAACTTATGTCTAAATGACTCATTTTCATACATTTGAAGCGTGACGTACATGACTTAGTACACCACTTGAAGAACTCTTCCCCAAATGGTCTTGAGAACTGACATTGCAGTGGCTGTCTACCAATTGCCCAGAGAATAGCTGGATCTGATCATAAAGGGCAAGCTCTTAGGTGCACAAATTATTCCTAATATTTCTGCATTTGAAATGGAATTCATGAATGCCAGATATTTCAGAGAGAGCACTATTCTCACACTGTCTACAGAGAAAGCATACAAAGCCAGGTTACCCTCCTGGCCCCTCACGGAATGCAGACAGGAAACAGCATTTGCAGTAGCATTCAATTACACACACACAAGCAGCAGGACACCCTGCATGCACAGCACAAAAATCTCTTGGTACTGCCCTTCATATCACAACCTGGAAACCTTCCCAGTCATTCAAGAAAAGTTTGGTGCTGCATGGAACAGTTTGCCATGAAATCCAGGCCCATAAGCACACCACAGATTTCTCTCCATTCTCAAGCTTCCACATAGCTCCTGATCTTGCTCTTCATTCTCCAAAACAGTTGCTGCTTGGAGGCCAGATGACCTGAAGGAGTCACAAATCAAACAATGACAGCAGGATCCATGTGCAGATGCATACACAGACACACTCTCCTGATGTTGGCAGAAGAACTAACAGTCCATTGTAATGCACGGCTCAGTTTACACTTCCCAAAGCCTGTCTCCAGTTGCGTGCAGATGAGGTATTACTAATAAGGACATGTCTGCCAGTGCCACCTGAACAGCTCTTTCCTCACACCCATGAGTACTATAATAAAACAATAGCTAAGAGTCTGTGACTCCAGGAGCCAGGAAGGTAGCACAGCACTAAAGGTCTACTTAGCTCTCACTCAAAGACACCTCTCCTGGCAAATTATGACAGAAAAGCTTAAAAGCCATGTTTATAACATTTTAAGAGCATGATTAAACTTTGATTCCTGTTTTAAATTACACCTAGGACCAAAAGAAGTCAGTAACATAGATCAATAAGATGTCTTGATATTTACTTCTTCCTTTTGAATGACTACAAAGTTTTAGAGGAGATATTGCCATTTTTCTGTCTGTTAAAGTGTCATGACAATAGATGCTACTGATGATAGGGGTTTAGCCTAACTGTTAGAGAGAAACTGTCAGTTCACGAAGAAAACAGATAATTGTAGTTGAGGAGTTTAGTGAAATAACAATTATCACTTAATATATTTCTTTTAGATCAAGGGAAACATATTCAAGTTTTCAGTACTCTGCTAGTAATAGAAAGTAAAAACTACCACAAAGAAGTCAGGAAAAGCAAACAACTAACCAAAAGACTATATGATTATTTCTATGCAGCCTGCAATAAATGTACTGTCAAAAATGTCAGTTAAAAGTCCAGCCAGGATACTGCCCAAGACAGGGATCAAAGGCTTCCAAGAATCTCTTATTTTCCCCAAGCTCTCATCCAGAAAAACCCAAATGATCATCTTAAGAATTTTTAAACAAAAGTTCAAAGTATTGCCTTTCCTGATGCTATTATTAGGACACAATGGCAGCTGTTTCTGAATACTCAATGTCCCATGCAGGAATCATACCTTTTTCTGGAATGATGTCTATCTGTTGAGGAAAAAAAAAGGCTGCAGAGAACGAGAAGGCAACCCTCACTCACACGCAATCAAGGAATTGATTGTAAATCACTTATCAGACCCTAAGGCAAGAGCCAGGAAAATGCTAGGTGGGTACAAAAAAAAAAAAGATATTTAAATTCATACAGTTTTGCTTCTGGAAAAATGAAAGGAAGACAGCAGGCAGCATGCAGGAGGTTATCAGGGCAGTGCTAGAGTTGTTGCTACTACGTGGGACCCATCTATAGAACAGGAATTGAGAGATACCATTTCATATCATATTCCAGTTTTCTCATGTTAATAAGATGCAATTAAGCAGAAAAGACTGAGCTGCTCAAGTCAGGTCAGATCGTAAACTTTCTTCTGCTGATACAGAAACACCTCCCCCCCATTCTACAATATATCTGTAGTTAATTTCTGTTATTGGCTGACTGGTTGCCTTATCACGGAAAAAGATCACAGTTTGCTTGTCAGCACGGCAACACCTGTATCTGTAAACTCAGAATCTCTCAGTGATATTCTCAGATATTGTCAACATCTGTTTTAGTAAGCTCTTAAAGCATTTTCAGACACGGCTTTGGCCTCTTCTCCTTGGACAGCCCCAGGCCTATTATGGCAGCTGGAGCATTTAAGGGACCGCTCTCAGCACACAGCTTGAATGCAGCTACCATCTTGGGAAATTTAAAATAGCAGAGTGCTGACAGCTCCCATCTCAGTACCCAGATGTTTCATTTATTTTTACAGAATCATTCAACAATTTTTAATTCCTTGTGAGTTTAATCACATCTCTGAAGAAAAGAGTTTTTTGGAGGTACATGACTCAAAATACATGGTGTACTCTCCCAGTTCTTCAAGTGTGATAGTGAAAGTGTTGAACTATTCATAAATTTATTTTCTTTAAGGTTTTGTGCCCAAGATTTTACTTGCATTAATGTCATTTTACTATCCATAGTGATGTTATTGTGTTTTGAATTGGTATAAAAGTAAGAAAAATTCCACATTACTTAAATAAAATAGCCGTAATGAAAAACCTCATTACTAAAATTGTTAAAATGAAATATTAGATAGTCTCTCCTGCTAAAAAAAGTACAATTGTTTTATAAACCCACAGCTCAACGTGGCTTCAGCTCCATCTGCAAATCTGTTATGGATAGTTACCTTATGGATATGCTGCTTTGGAATTCCACGCAGTGTGCAGTAATAATAAAGATGCTCCCAACCCGTTAGAAGTTCATCCAGGGCATCTTGCTGTGGACAATAGCCAATGAGAATGCCCTCAGAGCTAGCAGACAGTATATCCATTTCAGACCTGTTTAAAGAAATAGACTTGAATGTTGCTTGAAAAAAGCCATGGCCCTGGCTTTCACCCTTGGGATACAAGACAAACACATAGGCTCAAGTCCATACATAAATGAGTTTGAGTCTCTTCACCCTTCGCCATGACTACTTCCTGCAGTACCACCCACAGGCAAGGGGCCTGTTTTTTGTCCTTTTTGGGATAGGACAGCCACCTCTTCAGTCATCACTGTAACAGTGAGCACGTGCGTGCATGTGTGCGTCAAGGTCAAGAGATCAACACAGAAGGAAGACAGTTCTATAACAATTTTACAGGTTTACCTCCCTTATCTCTTTGGTAGAATCTTCTCTAAGGAGATATATTTCAAACCACATTGTGTTCCTGTTTGATACTATATCATATTCAATATTATATTCATACTGATTACATTCAGTACTGAAGGGGCAGGACTTGAAAGAGAGGGAAATGTTGCTGTGTATTCTTTGTGTGTCTGTGCCCACATGTACACATGCATGCATTCTCTAAACTACAAGACTAAAACAAAGCACAGGATATTAAGGCCTAGTAGCTTAAAAGATAATATAGGAGAAAGTATAAAATTATCCTGATTTAAGAGACTTTGGACTTCACTTTGTAGCTCTACAGCATTACTTGAAATTACATTCATTGCAAAGAAGCAAGCTTGATTGCAAGGGTGTCTCATTACCCATAATGACACTAAATCTATCCTATTTATTCCAACATCTAATTTAACACTCAATGATGTTGATTTACATGTACAGAAAAACCTGTCAAGATGAAGATACTTAACAATAAAAAAATCTGAGCTTTGAAAGAAAAAAGTTTTCAAAAGGTTCTGAGTAACAGATTGTTTTTCCCCTTGGTGGTTTTCTACATAATCTGATTAAGAGAACTAAATATATGATTAATCAGTTAAACACAAAGTAAATGTATTAACTGCAGGATATGCAAATACCAGCACTAGTGAAAATATAAATATGTATCTCCCGTTAACAAGATTCAGCAGTCTGGAGAGAAAAAGAAAACACAAATTCTACATTTTGCATAAGGAATCTCAGCATCAAACTATATTTTAATGCTATTAAAAGATAAATTAACATGATTATGACAAGCCTTGCTGTGGACTAATTAGAATGGTCATTTGCTTTTAATGGCAAAGATAAAAAATCTTATTATCTTTGTTGGTGTGGATGGTCCAAGGACTGTAAGTGCTTGTAGAGACCTCTCTAAACAAAGAGTTAGCAAAAAATAGAAGGATGATAGGAAAAGAGGAAACCAGAAGTGTACTTCCTTATTAATTCATATCCATAATATAAAATATTATATAGATATTATCTATTATATAGAATATTATATTATAATATAAAATAATATATCTGTAATATAAAAATAACTTATAGGTTATTTTGAATGAAGTATATATAGAATTTTTACTGGCTCAGTTTTCAGCCATACCTAAATCAAATTAAATCATTTTTCTAAGGTAATCTTTACGTAAGATATGGATTGATTAATGGCAATCTATTTGCATACCCAGTCAGAAGCAGTAGATTCCTTATTTAATGGACTCTAAGATAGTGAAAACTATCCACAGTGAAATGTTATCTAGATGCTGTGTCTGAGGTTTGTTTTACTAGGAAGATTCATGCACACTCACAAGGTTTTCTTTTGGTACAGCTGCTGTCTTTTGAGAAACAAGAGGCTGGGCTTTTGGTAATATGCCAAGTTCAGCCACAAGAGAACAAATTGCACTCAGAGATAATCTCAGGGACATTTACTTAGCATGAACCCTGTAGCTGGAAAGACACATCTAGTCTGATGTGGGTCCCTACCATGAAGAACAAAAAGTTAAGTATGGACAGCTGCAAAAAAAGCCAGACATCTAATGTTCTTTAGCTAGAACTGTATTAGACCATATTTACTCAGTTTGCATTAGGAAATAAAAATAGTGTCCCCAGTGGTAATTGTGCATATATGATTTTAGTGTTGTGCCTCCATAAAGCACCCAGTCTTAGATGAACAATATCTCACCCTGACCATTAACTTTCAAAAGGAAGGGCACAGTGAGAATACATCATTTAATATTTATACTCTGTTTGGTCCTTATCTTGCAACTTTATGCATTAGTGCTGACCTTGAACTCTTAAAGTTTCCATTAACACAGAGATTCTAGTGTGTTCACTAAAGAACTCAAGGACCTTTCCATCCCCTCCCCTCCCATATCTGCATCTGTCGATCTGACCAGAAGGAAAAAAAAGGTCTCTTATTCAGAGGGTTTTTTTGAATGTACACTATAATGCCTATTTTTCCCCCACCAATATCACTGAGTAGATTTCCTAGTTAAAATGCTGGACTCCATCCTTCAGTTTTGTTTAGTCAGGTTTCTGAATACACAAATAACATATATTTATATATATACATAAATAATAGAGGAAGGAAAAACACATGATAAGTTTTAATATAATTAATGATGGTATGATACCAGAAAACCTTTTGAGTAAATGATATATTGTAAACGCTTTTCCCTTTTCTTTTATTTTTAATCTCTGATTCCATTCATTAAAGTAATTATAATCCTTTTATTCCTTGACATTTTCATATATGTTGTTATAAAAATCAAATTATAAATACAATTTTAATATTTTCTGAAATATAGATTAACATGCAGTAAAATCATGACTTTGTTTTCTCAAGCTAGAGAAAAATACCTGTTTGTTTTCTGTCCTTTTATTATCAGCATGCCAGCATTTCTCATTAGGCTATTCACATTAAACTCAAAACATGTAGGAAGAAAAAATCAGCTCATTTTATAAATAGAGAGAAAGAACATATAAGTACAGATTCCAACCCCTCTCAGGCTTTTTGTCCATACCATAGTAGACACAATGAATTTCAGTGTAATATCTAAAAACTATAGGAAGGAAATCAGTCTTTTACACTAATAGAGAACTCTCTGTATCATTATAAAAACAATACATAATTGTTATTTTAAATTCAGTTAGTAACTTTGGCTACATCTCTTGATCAAGATACGACATAAAACTAACATGGAACACAAGTTTCTCCTTCATTTTTAGACTACCTTGTTATGTTCAATCAATAGTTTCACTTGCTATTTAATTTTTCCTTTAAGGTGGAACAGCTGCAACAGATGACATGAACAGAACATGTCCAGAAATCTTTATGTTTTAAAGATCATTTTAAAGTTGCAGAATTGCATTTCTAGAACCCCTTTGAAAAAGGTCAACAGAATATCTGGCATCCTCAAGAAAAATAACAGTCTAGCACTTGAAGCATGGAAGATTTTGTATTCCGTATCTTTCTAAGTACTTCGGTGAGAATTATGACATTTTGGTGCAAATTATCCTGGAAAAAAGTCCACGACTCAAGAAGACTTCCCCCAGTTTGGAGTGCTCATCTTACAGTTTTGTACTATTGATGAAAGAAACTTGACAGACTTTCAAGGTACTGGGGATAATAAACTGAAATCTGATTGAATAAAAATTTTGATTCAAAATTGTTCCTTCACTGATCATTTCAAGGCTTTTTACATTAGTCCATTTCTTCCATACAATTAAAGGAATTCCTGCAATCTGATTGCAGCCCTGAAGGTGTGGGGCATTCCAGTCAGGAAGGCTTTGCTGGCACTGAAAAGAAACCAAAACACTGGAATGAGAGAGAATGATCTTGGACAAAACCTGTTGCCTTCTGAATAAACTGGACCTCTTGTTTCCAGAAGGCTAGGCTGGTTATTGCAGAGACTAGATTTCCTTCTTGTTTGTTACAGTGGTTACGGGCAACATCATATATAGGTGGTTGTGCACTGCAGTTCAAAGGTAAACTTCAGTTTTGAGTCTAGAAACAACTAAGTAACCTTGATATCAGCCTTATGGCTGTTTTGGGAAAACATTGTTTCACTATTGACTCAACTGTGTACTTTGCTTCACTTTTGTATGCTTTTTCTACATTTTTTGAATGCAGTTAAAGGCAGTGATATATACGGCACTTACAATGGCTTCTGCAGAGAGATAAATTCCATTAATTAGTCAAAATGAAATATAAATTTACAAATTGCAAAAGTACTTAGACATTACATTGTCCTTTTAACTGCATATTCAATTCAGTGCATACTAATGCTCAATTAACATTATAAAAAATCAAGGTTAAAATATAATTAATGTAACTATAGCTTCATTATAATTAAACTAATTATACTGATATACAGTGTAAAAACAACCATCTCAGCCATTATATCAATGTAAATTTATTCTGCCTTTCAAGTTAAGCTATTTGAATCACATTTTTAATTATTTATCAAGCTGAACATCATACCTATCAAAAGAGTCCAAGTTCTAGCTATAAAGAAATATTTTACTTTTCCCTCCTTGGAGAGCCATTCTTTGGTCCTATGACTTTGTAATTCAGCAGCTGAGATGGCTGACACTTAGTTCAAATAGGATGGGGAGTTGCTGTCATGGAGGATATCTGTGTGGTAGGAAGATGGAAATTCATGGGAGATAAATTAATTACATGAGGAAGACTGCCAAATGCTCCCATTCTCAGTGGGGCAACTTATGAACAAGATGACATCTTGTTTATCCATTTTTTTTCATTTTTTCACATATGCACCCCTCTACATTTTAAGTACAAACTTAAAGTCAACCCTATGCAGGAAAGTACAACAGCAAAGGCTGTGTAATAGAGAGCGCCAAAAAGGCAGATAAACCACTAGTCATATTGTTCATTATTTTACATTGACCTTGACATGGCACTTGAAAGGGTTTTGACAATTTCTCTTCAAAGCTGTGTTTAGTGCTCCTCAATTGAGGGAGGTTTTATGACACTGAAGAAGGTTTAAACAAAAGTATAGAAAGGGGAAGAAAACAAAGAATGGCCAGTGTGTACTCACACACACAGAAAAGTGGAACAGATGTACAGAATCTGCTGATATATCAGCCCAGCAGACATTCAAAGATTATGAAGACTCACTTTGTTCTCCTTTGTTTTGCTACTTTGTTAAGTGTCAGCTTTTCTTTGTACATATTTAATGCGGACCTTACTTCTTCAAGCTATTTGACAGAAAATGTAACTACAAAAATGTTTACAGTTTTATATGCTACCTTTCATTTTGCCAGCTCCCACATTGGTGGCAATCTAGTTATGACAGAAGAGCTAAGCATAAGCTAATTTGAGTCCACTTGTACTCTTAAAAAGGAACAGCTGTGCTACAGAGAACACAAAAAACCCTTCTAAATGTCAAGCAGACCATGCAGTTAACTTTTACACATATCTAAGCTTCACAACTCTTTTGTATGTTGTTCAAAAGCCAGTAAGACTCCTAATGCCTTATAACACCATAATTTGTAGATGCAAGGAAACAAATTTTATTAAAATACTCTCCTTTCTAGTAATTTTCACTTTTGTTTTTAATATTTCTGCCTTTTACAAAAGATACTGCTGGTACTTTGCTATCAGTACTTTATTTCCACATCTTCTAAAGTAACTGTTTCAGTGCTGCTTGTTCCTTTGGAACTCTTTAATATTGAGGTTGCAAATATCCCTAATGTGGAGACACACTCGTGAGATGTTAATTATTTTTATGTTTCATTTGCACTGAAAATGGCAATGTTAATGAGGTACACAAAATAATAAAAAAGACAAAATCCCCTGTGAATGGCACTATCTCCACAAGATTGGCTGTGGTTGGTGATAAATTCCTTTTATTTCTCTTACTAGACTATGTTATGAGACTTTGTCTCATAACAGTTGCAGCCAGAATGGGTTTGCAAATGTTGTAAGTTGCCTAAAAACATTCTCACCATTTATCCAGAGAGATACGAAAATTTAAAAAAAAAAACAAACAAAGTTTTTTGATATACTGCTCAGCTTGTATAATATAAATGTGCATTTGCCACATAAATAATGAAATACAAAACTTAGACACATAGTGCATTTAAAATGTCTACTTAATTTGTAATGTATCAGAAAGAGAAAATCATGATGAAAGTAGATCAGAAGCCATCCCTTCCGCAAAAGCCTGTCCCCATCAAGAAGAATGCCAGGAAACACTGATTTGCAGAAAAGATGAAGCTGGCTCTAGTATTTAACAAACATTCCCACTTAATAACACACTGACCAAAAAAAATAACTTTACTTCCCTTCCAATTTTGTTGGGAAAAATGATAAATATTGGTTGCGTCTAACCCAAAGTCCATTATTCATTTATCACTCCATCGAAGTTAGCCTCAGTCTCACCAACACTGCTTCTTATCCTAATTACATAGCATATTGATCGAGTAATTAATTACAGTCTCTGAAGTGCATAAGTGTAAGAAAACATTTTAAAAGTACCCACTTGAAGCACTGCTCATCAGACTAAGCCTGGAAACCTTTCAGGGCAGCACTACTACGGGGGATATATGTCCATGCATCTGAAAATACTGTATGTTAAGATTTTATTTTTTTTTTACAGTTTTAAAAGGATGTGTGTTAAGGTTTCTTAGAGTCTACTCTTTTGCTACCATGCAAGTTTGTTCTCAATTAACAGCATTCAAACAGAATTAAATAATGCTAAAATGCTTTTCTGCAGAGACTTAACAAAGCAATAGACATTTAAAAGGGAACAAAACAGGTCCTTAGAGTACAGTATAAAGGACTGATGATGTGCTGAGTCTTTAATCATTGGCATTATCAATTAGCACTATTCTGATCAAACTCTTGTTATTTACCCAGTAGGAGTCCGAATAACAGCACGTCCTGCAGATGGGATGATATCTCCAGTCAGCATCTTAAATGTTGTGCTTTTTCCAGCTCCATTTGTTCCCAGGAGTCCAAAACACTATCAGAGATAAAAAAATAGGAAAAAACCCCAACAAAACAAACCCAACAAAAACAAGGAGCAGGAGCAATTAATCTGCTATGCTGAAAAAAGTAAGTAATATTAATTCTTCAACAGTTTCCCCTTTTCTCAGTTCATATCATATGTCTGTAAGATACTGCACATGGATATAGCATATGTGTAAACTCCCTTTCCCACAGAAAATCAGTTTAAAAAAAACCCATATATATAATATTTTGATTACCCCCTAATATCTAAAAGTGACTTATTTAGGATTATAGCCCTCCACTTAAAACCCTGCCAAGTAACTAAATGCATTATTTATCCATATTATTTGTAAATACTACATTTGTACCTGAGGAACTCGGGTCCTATTTGAGAGCCCTGATCATCAGTCCATAGAGTTAATAATTCTCAGCTTCTCATGAGGTGCTTCACTCAGTACAAGTAAATAAATACAAGACAGCCAAGAGACACACTCTGAACACTTATTTAAGGCCCCTATCTGCAACGAATTTATGCTTCAGTTGTCACAGGATTCATATTAAGTCTACACATAGCCCTTCATAACTTTTGAAATACTTGTTTCATAAACTTTCTTATTGATAGAGGTTTTAATATCGTCCTGGTTAGCTCAGTTACCCAACGGCTGATTAATAACTAGTCAGATGTCACTGGACCTGGGCTGCCATACTCTAATTTCTCATGTCTTCTAATGTGCTATTAGCAACTAAGAAAGGTCTTTTCCTGCTCAGCAGTTTTGAAATTATTATCTGCAATTCCCATAAGCATAAACATAATGGAAAACCCCCCAAAACACAAACTCAAATGCTGTTTAATGCTAAATTTGAGTTTATTAAAATAGTATATTAGCATGTTATATGCTATATTAAAATATAGCGTGATGATTTCAGCATGGAAACTAAAAGTGTTCCTTGGTGACAAATTTAGGATTCAGTCCACAGTTTACAACTGAATTAGATATTCTTTGTTTTCTCTTTGAACATTGGGGTGTTGTGCTACCTACTCATTTTTTGTGTTAGCTGATAACACAGTAACCTAATAAAGACAAGAAGAAAAAATTTAAACTCGGATGAATTTGTAACCCAAAAAATAAGCAAACAGTTGCTTCTTAAACACCATCAGAGTTTCTGCTTTTCTCCAGTAGTTGATTTTCAGAAATTACTCCAATTGAAGTTGTTCTACTGTTATCTACAGATCTTTCAGAGTAGACACACTGAGGATGTTCAAACAATTGCTCAGAATGAAGTGTTACTTTATACAAGGGAACAAAAAGACCTCTTTACCTCTCCCTTTGGTATTCCCAAGCTTATGTTTTCCACAGCTGTGTTCTTTTTACTGAAACCTCCATAACATTTCCTGAGGTTGTACAGAAGTAGCACATCATTACCAGTTTTTCCACCAAAGAGTCGCTGTCGCTCCATTTCTACATCAACATCTTCTGATGGGCTGACTATGTTGTTAATTGAACAATGACCCCTAAAACAGATGATAATAAATCACATATAGAAAATTGGTCACTGCTGCACTCTGAATAACTCTTAGTTCCCTGGTTACAATCCCTTACAGCTTTGTGATTAATTCTCATCAGAATTTGAGCAAAACAACAACTATTATAAGTATTTTTTGTAGTTTCCAATAATTTAGGTACACCATGTTATCAAAATTATTCACCTTCAGGTGTTCAAAGGAACCCACCATTTTCTTTCTGTAAAAATCAGTTCCATCTCCACTATAGCAGAATAATAATGGTAACACACCTTTGCTTCTGGAGGAGATCCCAATGAAGGAAAAGACGTAAAAGAAGTAGCAATGTTCCCTGAAGAGCCATTTCCACAAAAATCCAGCCCAGGAAATCCATCTCAAACGGGCTCACATATGAATCTATTCCAAAGTTACTGGTAAGGTCAAACTTGATCTGATTGTACGAAAGCTCTATTAAGCCTTGGCCTAAGCAGAATTGTGGGAATATGATGAATGCCCATCTGAGGATATTGTAGATGTTCTGAAAACTCTGTATTAAGATGCAGCAAGGATGGGTGGAGAGAAAAAAAGCAAAAACAAAAACAAACAAAAAACAAAACAAAGAAAATCAACCAAAAAAACCAAGAAATTTAGTTTTTTCCAACAGCACAATAAGCACACTTGCAAAGTGTAATACAGCATTCAAATCTCAATCTCACTCAAGGTGAACTGATTTCTAAAATGCATACTGTGAACCATTTTCTGGGCAGGGTTCATATCTTATTGTATTTTAGACCACCTGGGGATATGGGTTTCTAAACTTAGTTGAGGTTCACAGACAGTACCAAAACATGTGGCCATGACCGTTCTATTTTCTTAAAATTTTAGTATTTGAATACTATCAAATATAAATCACCAACTTAAACCCAAATGAACAACAAATCTGCTGACAAACTTGAGTGACACATAATCCAGATCTGACTTCAAACATCAAGTTTTTGACCTGTACATGCATGAAGATTCATACACATTTGGGTTCTCCTCTCCATCAAGTTTTTTAAATACCATTACAACTAATGAAAATTTACATATATGGAATGAGAATGCATATTACTATTTATACAGGGCATTACTGATCCTAGGAATATGCAGCTTATCTCTTGTGTCAATATTATTCAAACACATTTTACAAGGCATATAATCTATTTAATGGACCAGAACAGCTCCCGTTATGTGCCAATTACAACTTAATGGTCTAGAAAATGTCAAAGTTTCAATTAAAAACATTTTCCCACTATTACAGCATGCTTTTTTTGGTTATAGAGAAGTTAAAATTCAAGATGGTAACAAGCAATGCAGTGTATACCAGAAGAGAAAAATCATAAATGTTTTAAAAAAACGTATGTTTTTCTGCTGGAAAAATCTTATCTGTGCATATGTATAAACATACATATATACAAACTCAAAAAAAACCCATGCATGTATGTGTGTGTATACATCTCAGTTATGAAAAAGTTAAATCAAGGATTTTATACTGACCTGCACTTTGGAAATTATAGCTAACAGACGAGGTAAGAGAGTCACCAGCATGGTACACAGGCCAAACACAAAATTTAAGGAGACATAAGAAATAAAAGCTACATCTGAACTTGAGAAGAATCTGGATACAAGATACATCCATGGTAAAGTTGCATATCTGAAAGTTAAAGAAAAAAAATTGTAAAAAAATTTATTTTTTTGTCTCACCTCCCAGTTATCACACTAGAAAAAACCACAATTTTTACTCCTTATTTTTAAGATATACGAACAATGGATAAAAAAAAAGGACAAATTTTGGATATGTCTTCTTTATCAAAGTACCTTATGGTTCCACAGATGTACACTGCTATGTGACGGGCAGATATGATCCATTTTTGCATATATCAACTGCAGATATTTACTTTTACTATTTCAGACAGCTCACAATCCTGATTTCTGAATGACTGCAAACCCATGCACGTTAACATAGAGATAGAATTAAAATCAAATACTTAAATCATGTATCCTGAGCAGTCAGGTTTCCTTAGAAGCTTTCATAAAAAGAAAAAAAGAATGAAAGAGGAAGAAGGGAGTGAGTAAAGAAAGAGGGTGGAAAAAAGAAGAAAAAAACAATATCCTTGAACTGGAACTGTGCCAGTGATATCTGAGAACTGAAATATCCTACCATGCTATTACCTAAACCAGGTTATCAGTTAATATAGCACAATGAGGATAAGACAGCACGTCCATGGCTACATTACCTTCAATGCAAATCTTTAAATGACGAGGGAAGACACCCTCTCTCTATTCTGACAAGTCAAATCATGCCTATCCAAAAGGAAGTATTTATATTTTTTATAAAGAGACTTTTATAAAGACTAAAACAATGCCCAGGCAATCTGATGAGCATGCATGTCATGTAAAGGAAATTTATTTTCCATTCAACATAGCACAAGATCTATCAAACCAGCAGTATATAGACTGCAGGAGTATAGGTACCAGTGCATAACATTGCATGATGATAAGTATATATGTAGTGTATATGTAAATACTTCTTATATAATATTAATATAACTGTTTTAATAGTGAGCTCAATGCAAGAGTAACTAGCCAAAAATCTGTGAATGGACTTCTTCATTGTATTAAACAGCATTTTAGATTACAAGCCATGAAAGATCCTTTTGAATTCAGTGTTCTGTACTTTATAGATGAACTTTTTGCATTGGAGAATGTCAAATCCTTTCCCTTAAGAAACAAATTGGGAAGTAATAATGATGTTATCCTCAGTTTACAGGACAATAAAGGTTAAATTACTCAATGTTTGGATCTCAAATGAATATTGTAAGTATTCAAGGTCACACTATACTTTTCAGTGTCCTGTTGCCAGTCTTAATAACACAATCTTTTGTTCACTTCATGCACATACCAAAATCACTGTTCTCAGTGTTGCTCTGAATTACAATATCATAAATACAAGTCCATCCTTGGAAACAGCTCAGGAAAGAGACATGATTTAGAGTGCTGTTATTCTGCTGTAAATTAAAGTAAAATTTGATTTGTTTGCTTATAGCTGCTAGGAAATGAGTAAGACATTCAGAATACTAAAGTTATATAATGTTCAAATGCAGCCTTCAAAGTAGCTGCCAGTCACACCTACATTTCTATCCTCTTTTCCTTCAGCTTCAATTGCAATTTATTATTTTGTAATATCAAAGAGAGAATGTTTTGGACAAAAGTGCTTAAGTGTTTGGACTATAAAACACATCTGCTATCATCTAAAAGAGAAAAAAATGCAGTTTATTTAAGAGATCATTATATTTTTAAAGAAAATCACTGTTAAGGTGAACACTAGGAAACTTCTGATTACTCTTTCAAGCATACCCCCTTCTGGCACACCATTTACGTATTTTATATAACAGAGTTATTTTTATCTTTATTCTAGATCAAAACTTCTGCACAAATTTACACTGAAGAGACATTTTAAAAGGGAAAAAAAATGCATGATGGTATGTAGATGAATGAGAGTTACATGAGCAGTACTGGGGAAGGATAAAACTACCACCTTTACTGTGTCTTTAGGCTAAGTAAAGGGTAGAAGAGGAAGACTGGAAACTGAGTTTTATCATTGTCCTTGAGATGTGTTAAACTTACAACTGACAGCTATTGTATTTTTAATTCATGTTAATACACACTGAATACATAGACTTTCTTGTTAAAAATCACTGCAGTATCTGTAATGTCAGCCAAAGCTGATCAGTACAGGAGGGATTATACTGGGCTGATTAAGGAACATCAGCGGTCAACAAAAAAGGACAGTCCAGCTTTTCAGTCAATGCTTATTTCTCCTGAAATATCCAAACTTTACCTAAACATTTTGGTTAAAACAATGCCAGCATAATTGGCACTTGGTAGTACACTGTGGGCAGGACCAAAGCCTATATAACAGCACAGAAAACATCGTGCTTTCAGTAGATGTACATCTGTATTGTATGTTTCATTTACTGCTTGACTAAGATTTCTATAGATGCTTATTCTTCACTAGGGTGACAGCAACTGGATCACGAGAAGAATTCAACAGCTGTAATGATAATAAAAGAAAAAGATGAGATTTAATAGTGTAAATTTTTTGCAATAAGGTTGATTAGAATTTCTGCCTGTAATTTGAAGGAATCACTTTATCAAAGTGCAGAACAAAGGAAGTGAGAGTGGTACCTGAGAGCGATAGAGAGAGGAGAAAAATATGAACCTTAGATGTTTCATACAAGTTATTTACAAGATCATGACCTCTGATCACGACCTCTAGAATATTTCATACTAGTCTGGCCATTCATGCCCAGGAAATGAGTTCAAACTAGAGTTATAAGGAAAAATTATAAGTAGAATTATCCAGGGAATTTGGAAGGCCTTTTACGAGAGAGGGCTTGGCTTGTTTGGGCTTGCAAAAGATGTTTGATGAAGGGGAATTATGAAGTATGGTTCTGAATAAACATAGGCTGGAATTTCAGAGAATAGATCCAGTTTTGAGGTTACCAAAACGGTTTTCCAAAGAATGAGTTACTGGAGGCACAAAACCTTGAAAACAGTTTTAAGATGCAATATAGTAAATCAGGATGTTTTTTGAAGTATTTATCTGAGACTCTTCCTGGAATAGAATATGTCATGATCTTGCAGAAGGTCCTTTCTACTATCTTTCCCTATCATTCTCTCATGAACTTGTTATATTTCATTATCTAAACATCTGTCTTGTAAGATTAGCATTTCCCCTATAAGGATAGTCACAACTAGTTGCTTGAGATAAGGAAGGAACTCCTCAGAAGCCTTTTCCTGTAACTAGTAACCCTCAGCATTTCTCACATCACTTTGGACTGTATGTAGAAAGCAATAAAGGAACAGAATAGACCATTAGTTTGATTGAACCCAGGGTTCAACAACCTTGTGTTAATAGATATATCAATCCCTTGTTTAATGAGTTATTTTCACTTTTTAGAAGTCTTTTTTTTTTTTTTTTTATGTGAAACTTAGCAAGTGGGTAGTATGGTATAACTTTCCAGTCTCACAGTACTATTTGGAGACAAAGCTCCAACCAGCTCCGGTACTTCACATAGGACTTCTCATTGGAAATATAAACTCCAGGAGCTATGTTGAATTACAGAAAATAGTTAGAACTGTAATAAAAGACAGCCATTTCTTACCTTCTTGATGATATTCTTCAAAGCTAAGCACTGAAATTCTGACCTATGTTATTATTCCCACATTTTCTGGAAGATAATATACAATCAATTTCTAATAGCAAATGACTGTTATAAAGGCCAAATATTCTCTGAGACGTTTCTAGTACGTTTATTTTTTAATGTTTTTTTTTAACTTGCGAGCAAATCTCCCTCCACTTTTTGAGTTTAACTTTCAAACTCTTGTTTCAGCTTGTTTTCTCACTATATTTTGCTGAATCATAATTATTTCTAAAGACAGAAAACCATGCATCCAGCAGCAGGCGCAAACTATGTTTAAAGATTTCTGTTTGTTTCTTAGAAGTTATAATTCCACAGTAGCATTTCCAATCACATACCCAAAGAGTATCAGCAGGAGAACAGTGGCCACCAAGTTCTTCCGGAAAGTGAAGGCTGATAGCTGGAAGGCACTAATAACACCAATACACAGGGTGACTGGAACCATGTAAAATAGCTAGCAACAGAAGGAAGAAAAGACATTGAGCAGGTGAGCATCTCTTACTGATTTCACTTAATTTGCATAGAAGGGCTATACAAATCAACTTTTCCATATTTGCAATATAATTACACTATAAATTAGGAAGGAATAGGCAGAAGAGATCGGAGATTTCATAGTCCACACTTGCTGTGAATCTGCCCCCTGCACATGAAACAGCCTGACAAGATAAAATCCAACTACAGATTATTCCCCTTAGTTCTATTTCCATTGACCTTTCCAGTGCATCCATTTAACAAGTTAACTCTTCCACATAATGAGTCCGCATGGGGCTATTGCTCCAAAACATCAAATTACACTCTGAATACATAGGTTTGGTTTCAGAAATAGCAGTTTCACTGATTAGTGCTTCAGTCACAGGAGAATAGTAAGGATACAATTTTTAAAGGGACTTTAATCATAGAATCATAGAATCAACTGGGTTGGAAAAGACATCCGAGATCATAAAGTCCAACTCTTGATCCAACACTGTCATGGTTACTAGACCATGGCACTAAGTGCCACATCCAGTCGCATCTTAAAAACTCCAGAAATGGTAAATCCACCACCTCCCTGAGCAGCCCATTCCAATGTCTGATTACTCTCTCTGTAAAAAATTTCTTCCTAATATCCAACCTAAACTTCCCCTGGCACAGCTTAAGACCATGCCCTCTCGTCCTGCTGCTGGTTGCCTGGGAGAAGAGACCGACACCCACCCAGCTACAATCTCCTTTTAGGTAGTTGTAGACAGTGATGAGGTCTCCCCTGAGCCTCCTCTTCTCCAGGCTGAACAACCCCAGTTCCCTCAGTGTCTTCTCATAGGACTTGTGCTCAAGTCCCTTCACCAGACTTGTTGCTCTTCCCTGGACCTGCTCCAGCACCTCAATATCCTTCCTGAACTGAGGGGCCCAGAACTGGGACACAGTACTCCAGGTGTGGCCTCACCAGTGCTGAGTACAGGGGAAGAATCACTTCCCTGGGCCTGTTGGCCACACTGTTCCTGATACAGGCCAGGATGCCATTGGCCTTCTTGGCCACCTGGGCACACTGCTGGTTCACATTCCGCTTTCTGCCAATCCAAACTCCCAGGTCCCTCTCTGCCTGGTTGCTCTCCAGCTACTCTGCCCCCAGCCTGTAGCACTGCATGGGGTTGTTGTGGCCAAAGTGCAGAACGTGGCACTTGGCCTTGTTGAACCTCATCCCACTGGAATCAGCCCAACTCCCCAGTCTGTCCAGGTCCCTCTGCCTTCCAGCAGATTAACACTCCCCCCACCAACTTGGTGTCATCTGCAAATTTGCTGATGGTGGACTCAATCCCCTCATCTACACCATTGATAAAGATATTAAACAGAACTGGGCCCAACACTGATCCCTGGGGGACACCACTAGTGACCGGTCGCCAACTGGATGCAGCACCGTTCACCACCACTCTCTGGGCCCGGCCCTCCAGCCAGTTCCTAACCCAGCACAGACTGCCCCTGTCCAAGCTGTGGGCTGCCAGCTTTTACAGGAGAATGTTGTGGGAGGCGGTGTCAAAGGCTTTGCTGAAGTCGATAGATGACATCCACAGCCTTCGCCTCATCCACCAGGCGGGTCACTTGGTCATAAAAGGAGATCAGGTTGGTCAGACAGGACCTACCCTTCCTAAACCCAAGCTGGCTGGGTCTGATCCCTTGTCCATCCTATAGGTGTTGTGTGATTGCACTTAGGATGAAGGACAATGTGTGCTGATGAAGCAAATGACAACTTTTATTGGGAATGGACACAGTATGTAGAAGAGTTACAGCCATTAGACAACAGGGAAAGCAGTTTGTTTAGTCTCTTGATATATTGGTAAACAAATACTTTGGGGAGCGGAACAGGACAGGATGGGATTGGTACAGGGGCTTCATACCAAACTATACAAGAGAGAGGGGTTCTACTTGCAACTAACAATGTCAAGATGTGAAAATCTGTGCTCAGTTCTGTTCTCAGTGTCTGCCTGCTCTGTGCATTGAATCTGAGCTCATTAGGGCAATGACTGCCTGCATTTCTGCTTATATAATATTCAGCATTATCCTAATATAACTTAGATTCTGAGATGCAACTGCAACAGAGGAAACAAATCAATGTCTAGTTAAATATTCAGTGTAGAAGAACAACACCCTTACTGTTAAAATTGGGCTTTCATACTGAGGTACAATGAAAACCTGTTCCAAATTAAACCAGAGGCCATTATCTCTTTGCTACTGGGAAGACAGACAATTTTTTTAAGAGAAGGGCAATGGAATTAAATGTAGACGGATGCAATGTCCTCATCTAATTCACCGTGTACCTTTTAAATGCCATATACAAATATTATAATATATCACTCCACAGATTTATGTTTCAGTTATCCTGAAGCTGTTTAAAAAATATGGTAGAGAAGTCACAAAGTATGTTTCAACAGACCTGGGACTTTTGTCTAGAAATAAAGAACTTTAAACCAAATTCTGTTAGAAATCTTACCCTGAAAGCATGGTGTATTACAGAAGTTGGGCATGTACAACAAAAAACCCCAAAACTTTAATTTTGCCCCTCTAGTGACACACGCTTAATCTGAAAAAAATCTCTCTATTTGTCTGTAAATTTTCTTAGCACTTACACATTTTCCATTTGTTGAACACAGTAATGAATACCATTCACCTGTATAAATACAGTAAGAACACCCTGATTCTCATGAGAGCAATTTCATAAATCAAATACTTCTGCAGGCCTAGTAAAGATTGTGCTACCCATAATACAGGAGACAGCCTGTAATACTTAAAATATGTAGAGGGATTTAAAATTTGACAGTTCATATATTCATGTGTCCAGTGTCCCTAAATGATCTGCAGCACAATTAGCATTTAAAGCAGTGTCTGTTCTTTCCCAGATCATGATTGATCATGCAGTACTGTTTGAATCTGTGAGAAGGTTTTGAGAGATTGGCAGAAAATAATGAGGAGTTGACTTTGCTGCACAAGGAGAAACTGAATGATGAAGGACTGAGGTTTTAACCAAGCCCTTTTATCTGAAACATCAGAAAAAAAGAACACCAAGATTGACTGGTCAAGTAAATAACATTTGAAGAAATGTGCTCTTACCTCAAGATTGCTCAAGTGTGAAAATTCTGATTTCAAGCATGGATGGGTGAAGATCTAATGTTTCAGAATTAGAATAATCTGAATGAAAACAGAGTGTTCCAAAAACCTCTGGGTACCATAGAATCATTTAATTTGGAAAGGACCTTAAGAATATCAAGTCCAATCATTAATCCAGCATTTCCAAGTCCACCACTAAACCATGTCCCTAAGTGCCTCTTCTATATATCTTTTAAATACCTCCAAGGATGGTAACTCGACCACTTCCTTGGGCAACCTGTTCCAATGCTTACCAGAAATAAAAGATGCCGTTTATAAGCACCTCTCATGTTATCCGCAACAACAGACAATATAATCATCCCTTAAAACAGCTGAGTACTATCCTCGGTTTTCTCCACCAGTCTGAAAGATTTTGCCAAAAGCACAAAAACTCCTGCTATGAGCTGCTGTGTGGAAGATTCTCTCTGTCTAGGTTGATTAGCCAACTTACTTTTATTTGTAAAATAGTGTACATGCCTAAAGCTAGCAAATACGGTACAATTCAGCTTTGGGAAGCAAAGAATGTAATCCCTGCCCTGTATTAAAGTAGGAAAGGTGTCCCAATGCTTGTTAGCATGACAGCCAAGAGCTCTTACTCAGCACAATTCAAATCTTATTCATGTATCTTGTGATCATATCTCCTTTTGCTCATTTACGACAAACTTGTTAGAAATTTACACCTGAACACATGCTGCCCCACACAATACATACCATATCACAGCAGAAGTTAGCAAGCCAATAAGTTTTGTAACCCAGGCCTGTGATGTGCTGCAAGCGTTTAGTGCCAGATACTCTGTCTTTCACTATGGTACTTCCAATGGATGCAGTGAGGATAGAAAACCCCAGCATAATACACAGTGCTACCCCACACTGACGAACATTCTCCATTCTAGGTCAAAAAGGAAAACGGCACAATGAAAACACAACACAAAGGGGAAAAAAAACCTCAAATGCTAACATTTTCTAGGCCAACTTCTTACCAAAACAATACTAGACATTAGGACCTTTAATTGTGTTTGCAAACACGATAGAGTCACAGAATGGTTTAGCTTGGAAGGGACCTTAAAGATCATTTGTTCCATCCCCCCTGCCGTGAGCAAGGACAAAATGTATGTGCACTGTCGACATCTAATTAGAGAACAGGGCACAAGATAAGTTACAAAACTATACGAGAGTTACAGAGCAGAGTGTGTGTTTAAAGTCTGAATAAATCAAAGCTTTTGCTACAGAAAATTAAAATTTAAACACTTGACAATCATTTGAAGCAGTTAACCTGTTTAAAACTGTCCTGACACAGTCAGCATAAATTCAGTATTTTTCTCTACAAAATAATGCAACCATTTTTGATATAAACAGTGGACTTGACAGTCTGTACTAGAAAATACTTCACTCAGTGTAACAGAATTGTATCTATAAAGTCACTGCATCTATTCCATGCAACATATATTCTGATTTAATTGATAGTTTCAATTGTCTGCTCATTGCTGCTGTTATACATTTTAAGAGTTTGCTCACATTTTGTCCTCATCCAGCAAGGCTCCTCCATATGGTTGGCTGTAGAGAGTTATCCCTGTAAAAATAAAAATAAGTCATTAAATAGTAAATGCTATGTCAGGACTTCAAATTCTGGAGTACACTGTTAACACCTTTTATATGTATGAATGCAAAAGCTAAATACTTAGCAGTCAATAAAAGGAGGTCAAGCACCAAGCTGCAAAACCAAATACTGCCTCCTGTTGAGTGATTTCCAGGGTTTGGATCCATCAAAAACTGATTCATGATTCACAATGTCGTATATTGCTGCAGAACATACATCACATAGGAGATCAAAGACAAAATCTAAAGCAGAATTTGTTCATATACCTAATCTTCTGGAGCAAGATAGGCAATTTATACACTTGGTTTACATTATAGATCAGATTGTTTCAGCAATTTTTAGATTTGCAAAGAAAAATTATTTAGTTCACACACACACACAAAAAAAACTAAAAAGCACACCTCAGATAAAAAATGTAAACTTCTAAATTAAAAGCATACCCAGTTTGGGAGACCAAGAAAAATACTAAGTAGGCAATGCATTCTTGGGCTTATTTTAGTAGTTGGTGCAACCAACTACTACCATGTAGCAATCTAGTAAAATGAGCTATATATTTTTGCTTTTTTCTTTTCAAGGAACAGAAGAAAAGCTGAGGAGGGTAGAGGAGAAAGGTGAAACACGGTCAGTGTGAAGGCTGCTGTTCACCTGGTCTTGATCCCGTTTGTGACTTATTTCTGCATGTGTGTCTGACAAGTGTGCCACCTGTGCTGATTTTGGGTGGGGTGGAGTTAATTTTCTTCACAGTATCTGGTATTGGGGGTATGTTTTGGATTTTTGCTGGAAACAGTGTTGGTAACACCGTTTGTTTGGCAATAGCCAATGTTTTGGCTATTGCTGAGCAGCACTTACAAAGAGCTAAGGCCTTTTCTGCTCCCCACCCCAATCCATCAGAGAGGGGACAGGGGGTATACAGGGAGTTGGAAGGGGACACAGCCAGCATAGGTGATCCCAACTGACCAAAGGGACATTCCATATAGCATCATGATCAGCATATAAAATGGGGGGAAAAGGAGGAATAGGGGGATATTCAGAGTGATGTCATTAGCCCCAAGCCAGTGTCAGTCATGATGGAGTCCTGCTCTCCTAGGGATGGCTGAACACCTGCCAGCCCATGGGAAGAGATGAGTGAATTCCATGTTTTGCTTTGTTTATGTGTGTAGTTTTTGCTTTACCTATTTAATTGTCTTTATTTCAACCCATCAGTTTTCTCACTTCTAATATTCTCTCCCCCATCCAAACTGGGGGAAAGTGAGTGAGTGGCTGAGTGTGTGTGGCTTAGGTTAAGTCACAATACCAGTACTATTTGATTAGAGTGCCTAAATAAATCTATACTGTTCCAAATTAAAAAGAAACCTCCATCCTAACAGCAATTATAATCTTTCCAGTATGTTTGGTAAAGAAACAAATTGTTGGTAGCCTTAGATGGACTCTGCAGGGTACCACTTAATTGAACAGACTTTGTCATATTTTGCTAGAGTCCAGCTATATAAAGACAAAAAATGTCTTCATTCTAGTAACAGGTGCAATTTGACTAAGTACACATTTATTTTTGCCCCTTTAATATTTCATTCCTCATCTTCAAGCCAAAGTAATCTAAACATCACTAAATCACTGCATGGTAAAAAGCTGAACAGCAGAGGATGATGATTAACTTGCACACTAAACTAGTACAAGGTGAAGATTTTTCAAATAACAGTTAAACACTGTACACTGAAGCCCAATGGTAGTTGGAAAAACAGAAGAAGATTCAAGCCATTAAGGTTTGATTCATCACTAGTAGATACATCTGCTATTTGTAGAAGTCTTTCATGTCACTTGCCTAGAGGGGATGTTCAAAATTTTCCTTTGTTTTTCTTTTACACCATTAATTTTTTAAGCAATTGCTGCTATTTGTTCTGAAGCAAAACTGGCATATCAAAGAAAATTATTTTTTTCCCACTGAAACCAAGTATTTGCTGAAATTCCATTTATGTAAAGGAAAAGTAGCATGATAGAAAAAAGCTTAGTTCCCAGAAAGTTTTTCTAAGCTTTTCTAATGGTTGAATAAAAATGTGCACATTAGAAGAAATAGTCATAGAATCATATCAGGATCATAGAGTCCAACTCGTCTCCCTGTGCAGGACAGCCCAAGACAGCCATGTTCCTGAGAGCATTGTTCAAATGCTTCTTGAACCCTGTCAGGCTTGGTGCTGTGACCACTTCCCTGAGGAGCCTGTTCCAGTGTCCAACCACCCTCTCGGTGAAAAACCATTATCTAATACCTAACCTAGATGACCCCTGACTCAGTTTCAGACCATTTCCTCAAGTTCTGTCACTGGTTGCCTCCTCTTCCCCTCACGAGGAAGTTGTAAACTGTGATGAGGTCTCCCCTCAGTCTCCTCTCCTCCAGGCTGAAGAGACCAAGTGACCTCAGCCGCTCTTCATACAGCTTCCTCTCCAGGCCCTTCACTATCTTTGTTGCCCTCCTTTGGACACTCTCTAATAGCTTAATATCTTTCTTGTACCATGGTGCCCAAATCTGCACACAATATTCAAGCTGAGGTCGCACCAGTGCAGAGCAGAGCGGAACAATCCCCTCCCTCGACCAGCTGGTGATGCTTTGCCTGATGCCCCCCAGGACACAGTTGGCCCTCCTGGCTGCCGGGGCACTGCTGACTCATATTCACCTTGCCATCAAACAGGACTCCCAGCTCCCTTTCCGCAGCACTGCTCTCCAGCCTCTCATTCCTCAGACTATACACACAACCAGGGTTACCCTGTCCCAGGTGCAGAATCCTGCACTTGCCCTTGTTAAACTTCATATTGTTGGTGATTGCCCAGCTCTCTAATTTGTTGAGATCTCTCTGCCCTCAAAGGAGTCGACAGCTCTTCCCAGTTTAGTGTCATCGGCAAACTTACTTAGCGTTCTTGACTTTACAATGTCAGAAAGCTTTTGGAAAATGATCATTTCAGAAGCACTAAAATAAGAAGTTAACAAGATGAAATATACTTATTTTACTTAGTACTGCTCAGCTAAATTGGAAAAGAGCAAAATCATGTCTTCCAGGCCTTCTCTTTCATGAGGAGCCAAAAAACTAGAGCCATAAAACTTGGCTATGAGCCAAGTTCTGGTTACAGAGGATCTTCTCACATTTGTCAAGGTCTTGCCTTTGTAATCAAGAATTTGAATGTTCTGATCAAACTGTCTTACTCTAAGATTCAGATGCCAGAAATATTACAGCAAAATCGCTTAAGGGGTAGCATTTTTAGAAATTGCAAATCTTAAAATGATGTTCATGATCAGGAATTGCCAAGCCTGGGAGACCTATAGGCCCTACTGATTCACATCACTTTTCCCAAAATTATGGGACAGGTAAACCTCTCACAGGGTCTGTGGTAGAAAATTATTGCCCATAAAGTATCCAGAACCTGGGGAGTTTAACACAAATTCAGGAAGGTTCTTCACTATATTCCATTAACTAATCAGGGTTCATCTGAATCATACGCAATTGCTCTATTGCTATTATCTGCTGTATTCAGTGGGAAGAAAATGCACTAGGAGAAACAGAGCTATGAATAGCCTGTGCTATTTTCTGTGCAAGTGAATTTATGCTCATAAACTTAGGCTTGCCCACTTGTATGTTTAGGGAACCTAGTCAATGAATTTAATAGAAGAAGATCATCTGCACTACTGAAACTTTTCTAGAAGACCCACAGGGAATTAATGAAACATACAATATATAACAATGACAAAAATACATAAAATATTTTACAAGGAATAATTTCTGCCCATGAATATTTAATGTCTCTGAAAGTAATCTCTCTCCTGAAATCACCATGGCCTGTCCCTGTGAAGGGCGCAGATCTCAAGAGGAAAGTAACAAAACTTTCAGATTATTGCATTGGTATTAAACAAAAGACCATACACAGAAATGCACTGCTATAACTCTCTAGTACAGAATAAACAGAGACTGTCAAAAAGAGATAATTGCAGAGGGAAATAAACCCCCATGACATTAAATAGTATAACGTTTGCTGCAGTACTGTATCAAACAATACCTATCAAAAGGCAAATTGAACTGAATGGAGGAGTCACAAAAACTAATCACATGTCTTAAAAGTAGCAACCATTTTCTACAGTTAATTTCCACTCAAACTATGTAGTAGAAACAAAGGACTGCATTTTTTTTAAATTTACACACACAACTGAAATTAAATTTCCAGGGTTGCTGAATTACAAGTAACCAAAGTATGACTATGCTAAACTAAGTTCAGTTGTATTTAAAATTCAAAATTCTATCAATGCATTACATATAATACTTGCCTTTCATTCATTATTTTAAACTGTATCAATTAGTCTGGAGCATGAGGGTTTCTGAACTTGCTACTTTTTAGTGTAATGATTTCTTCCCTACACCCCCTTGTTAAAAAATAGACGGTTAAATAAAACCAATAAACTGGTTTGTAATACACAGAAGAAAAAAGTTCCCTTGAACTTAAGAAGTAGGTTATGAACTACCTTCCAATAGCAGAATAAACCAACACAATTAATAATATATGGTATTTCCTAGTATGTGTATTTTTTTAATTAAAAAACTCCCTTCCATGTACTTTTATAACCTATCCTTTCCTAAATTTCTTCTACCCACCTAGACCATCTTTCTTTACATATATCTCTGTCCCAATACAGCTGTTAACATGATGTAAAATGTGCTTATTGATATTTTCTTGCCTTTATATACCTTTTTACTAATGTAAAGCTGCTATAATTAGACTCATTAAGTTGAAAACTAACCACCATCTCTGAGGACTTAAAAACCATAAATGACATATAAACCAAGAAGTTCTAAATTATAAAGCTCCTACTAAAAATATGCTTCTGGTGTTCATGCAAAGGTTTTTTTTTTAAGAATTGTACTTGCAAGCCTTGTGTGAACAGCCCTTTGGGCAAATCTTACCAGATCAGTATTCATAAGGGAAAAGCAAGACAGTCA